ACACCCGTGCGGTGCACGCTGCGAGTTGCAGGCTGCGTGGCCTTGGCATCGCTCGGACGTGTGCATGTTTCCTTCGGCGAGGACCCTCGAGGAGCATCCTTTGATCATCTGGCGAAAAAAAAACACGCACGAAACCGACAAGAAAAACATGGAATGGACGTCCGAGCGATGGCGAGTGGCGAAGGCTGGGCTGCGCAGTCTGTGCCTCACCACCCACCAAACTTAGGTTCGTGAATTGACTACAGGCGGTCCAGCGGAAATCCTGCCCAAATCTTCAAAACACCTTCGGCCGGAAACTCAAACTCCAAAAACATGTTAAAGAATCTTGAATGGGAAACTCAAAATCCAAGACAACCTGAGAGAATCTCAAACACAAAACCTGGGGAAAACTCACACAGAAGAAACTACAGGAAATCTTGAAGCCGAAACCTGGGAAAAAAACTCAAACCTTAAAAAAACTTAGAACAAAAACTTGAAGCGGAAACCCGGAAAAAACTCAAACCCGGAAGGTTTGTTTAGAGTTGTGTTTTAAAGTTTTCCCAGAGTTGTTCCAGAGTTTTTCCATAGTTGTACCAGGGTTTTGTTTAGAGTTTTCAGTCGTTTAGAGTTGTTCCAAAGTTTTCACGGAGCTTTTTTAGAGTTTTCAGTCGCTTAGAGTTTTTTCCAGAGTTTTTTTTCCACAGTTGTTTTAGAGTTTTTCTAGAGTTGTTTCCAGAGTTGTTTCCACAGTTGTTCCAGAGTTTTCCCCAGGTTTCGGCTTAGAGATTTTCTGGAGTTTTTGTTTGGTTTGATTTTTTCCCAGGTTTGAGCTTCAGGTTTTTTCCTAGGGTTTTCCCATGTTTGAGCTTCGCGTTGGGTTGGGGTGGTTTGGTGACCAAACCACCCCAACCCAACCCGAAGGCTCAGATTTACCCTCGATTTCCAGTGGGGGGGGGTCGGGAAACGTCGAAACACACGCGTGGAACCCTTACCCCCCCCAACCCGAAGTTCGGGTCTTCGGGTTGGGTTGGGGTGGTCTGGTAGGTAGTCAGGGCAGCCAAGGCCCCCCGAGGATGCCACAGATGTTTCGCCGCCTCGCCGGCCCAGGACGGGGTAGCCCTGCGCAGCAGCCTGTGCCTCCGGCTGGAGTCCAGGTTCGCGGCCTGGATCCGGGAGCGCGGCGGGGAGGCTGCACGAGGAGGAGGAGGAGGAGGAGGAGGAGGAGGAGGAGGAGGGGAGGAGGAGGAGGGGGGAGGGGGAGGGGAGGAGGAGGAGGAGGAGGAGGAGGGGAGGAGGAGGAGGAGGAGAGGAGGAGGAGGAGGAGGGGGAGGGGAGGAGGAGGAGGGAGGAGGAGGAGGAGGAGGAGGAGGAGGAGGAGGAGGAGGAGGAGGAGGCCATGCTGTGCTGCGCAGGCCATGCTGCCGCCCACGGGCGGGCACCGGGCGCGAGCGCCAGCGAGGCCTCGGCGTGCCCGCCCCGAGCGCACAGGGCCAGCGCCCGCGGGGGAAGGCCGCGGGCGGGCACGAGGCGACCCCTCGGCGGAGCCTCCCTCCCCTCCCCCCGCTCTTCCTCGTGCGGGCTCGGCCCCTCCTCCCCCCCCCCCCTCCCTCCCCTCCCCCTCCCCCCCTCCCCTCCCCCCTCCCCCCCCCTCCCCCTCTCCCTCCCCCTCCCCTCCCCCCCCCTCCCGAGAAAGGTTCAGATCCCAACCGGACGCGTGAGATCCCAACCGGACGGTTCAGATCCCAACCGTCAAGGACACGTGGGACGCGTGAGATCCCAACCACTTTGGACCCTCTGAAAAGCTCCAACCTCTGCAAGGTTCTGAGAGCCACTGCGAGCCTCTGAGAGA